GGTTGAATTATACATGCTTGTAAAATGGAATACTCAGGGTGCCTGGGTGACTCATTCAGTTAAGCAACCAACTCTTGATTTTGGCTCAGGTCATGAGCACCCCTGCCATGTGCTCGCTCTCTTCTAAAATAAAATAAACTAAAAAAATGGAATACTCTGTAGCTATTAAAAAGAATGATTTAGGGGCGCCTGGGTGGCGCAGTCGGTTAAGCGTCGAGCTTCAGCCGAGTCTGTCTCAACATGAGTCCGTCGAGTTGAGCCCGGCGTCAGGCTCTGGGCTCAGAACTAGACCTGTTCGATTCTGTGTCTCCCTCTCTCCTCCGCCCTCTCATGCCTGCTTGTCTCTCTCTGTCCCAAAAAAAAATTAAAAACGTTTAAAAAAAAATTTAAAAAAAAAAAAAAAGAATAGATTTAGGAGGTCCTGGGTTGCTCAGTTGGTTAAGCATCTGACAGGTCATGATCTCCCACGCCTTGTGGTTTGAGCCCCATGTCAGGCTCTGTGCTGACAGCTCGGGCCTGGAGCATGCTTCGATTCTGTCTCCTCTCTGCCCCTACCACTGTCTGTCTCTAAAAAGGAAGCAAACATTAAAAAAATTTTTTTTAATTTTTTTTTTTCAAGCGTGCTTTATTTATTTTTTTTGGGGAAGAGAGAATGTAAGGGGCTGAGCAGAAGGAGACTGAGAAACTCAGAAACATCAGCCCAGAGCCTGACGCTGGGCTACGAACAGATCGAAACCCGACCTGAAGTCTGGACGCTTAACGGAAACATACTCTAACCGGCCTCTAAACAAACCATTTTTTTTAAAAAAGAATGATTTAGATTCATAGAAGGTGATAGGAAAATTAAGTTGTTTTTTTTTTTTTTTTTAACGCTTTCATTTATTTTATATTGTAGACGAGAGGAGACAGAGCATGATGACGGGAGGGGCGAGAGAGAGAGGAGACACAGAATCAGAAGTCAGGCTCAAGGTCTGGCCATCAGCTGATGAGGACCCGGGACGCCTGAACTTACTGACCCGATAGACCCTGAGCCAAATTGACAACAATAACTAGGCAAGCCCGAGGAAAATTAAGTTTTTTAAAGAGGGGAGTATTGTATAATTCAGTTGTAGATTGTATATATTCATATGTAATGAAAATTTCTAGGATATTCAAGAAACAGTAAAGAGTAGTTACCTATAAGAGAACAAGGACTAGCAGAGTGGAGAACTTTTTACTTTCACTTCACATCCTAAACTGTTTCAATTTATCATGCATATATACCACCATTACAATAAAAAAAATGAAAGTAATGAAAAAAAGTTAATGGAATGGTAGTGGTAGGAATATGGTGATTTTTGTTTTCCTTTTTATACTTTCTTGCATTTTCCCAATTTTCTTTTTTTTAACGTTTTATTTGGTTTTCTTTTAATGTTTATTTTTGAGAGAGAGCACAAGCAGGGAAGGTGGAGAGAGAGAGAGAATCTGAAGTAGCCTCCACACTGTCATGGCAAAGGTCAACACAGGGTTTGAACCCAGGAACTGTGAGATCTTGACCTGAACCAAACTCACTCAACTGCCTGAGCCACCCACTCGACTTTCCCAATTTTCTATAATTAACAATGTATTGGGGCACCTGGCTGATTCTGTCAGAAGAGCATATGATTCCTGATCTCAGGGTACTGAGTTCAAGCCCCACACTGGGCATATAGATTACTTAAAAATAATTAAAAAAAAAAAAAAAAAAAAAGCATTAGCACATATTGCTTTTTATATCCCCAAAACTATTTTTTTGTTTTTAACAAGTGTAACTTCTGGCTCAAATGAGGGAGGGGGAGTCATAGCTCAATTATAAATATTGTGGCAATTACAAAGAAATATGGAAAGACTTCATTCTCAAAATGAATATCATTTGTTTGGAAAACCTATCATGAACACCTAGATGCCAAAAGTTAAAGAAAATCCTTGATTTAGTTTACTGGAGTTGCTCATGTGGTACTAACCCCTAAGGAAGCAAAGAGATGGCAGTATTATGAGGAAGTTGTGCCAAATTTTTAAGGAAGAACTAAGTGAATTCTATGAAAGGATGTTTTCTTAAAATTTATCAAGTCCTGGGGCACCTGGGTGGCTCAGTTCGTTAAGCGTCCGACTTCAGCTCAGGTCACGATCTCACAGTCTGTGAGTTCGAGCCCCACGTCGGGCTCTGTGCTGACAGCTCAGAGCCTGGAGCCTGCTTCAGATTCTGTGTCTCCCTCTCTCCTTGCCCCTCCCCTGCTCATGCTCTGTCTCTCTCTGTCTCAAAAATAAAAACATTAAAAAAAATAAAAAAAAAAACAACTCTAATTGTTAATGTTCTTCCTTACATTACACTAAAATCTAGCTTCTTATAATTTTCAATCACTGGCCCAGCTGTCCCAGTTCTGTCCTCTGGAATTAAGTTTTTTAAACAATTTTTATTATCTTCATCTCCCTCTTTAATCGTCCCAAAACTAAATCTCTCAATTCCTCAAATTGTTTCTACACCCTTCATCATTCTAATTACTTTCCTATAAAGAAATTCTAGTTTCTCAATGTGCTCTTAGAATCAAATACTCCAAATGAACACAAAATTCCAGATCTGATCTGACCACTCTCATTACCTTCTTTGTCTGGGTCACCATAAACAGTATAAGACTAGTTGCCAGGCAGTATACAATTCATTGTCAAATTAGTGGTACTGTTCATACCACAAATGATTTATGTTTAAACGAGTTCAGAGGTTAAAGAGTGTAAAGGAGAAAAAGACCACAGTGGACAGGAACTTAGGAAGTTTTCAACAACAACAAAAAGGTAGACTCTAAGTCGAGAAAGGAATAATACATTTTTGATAAGCAGAAAATTCAAAAAGAATATTTTTGGGGGTACAAATGCAGAACAGGAATGAGCAAAGTTAGTGCTAGAGCTAAGTATCTGCATAAGGATAAGCAAGAATATAGGGCCAAAAAGGAGAGCCCTTAACCTGTAGGCAATAAGGAATGATTAATGAGTTAGATCAAGAAACTGACTTCTTTAGATGTCTGGGGATAATTGAATACCAGTTTGCCAATTTCTACATCAGTTTTTACAACTGTTTGAACTTTGACTACAGGGAAAAAATCTCTAATTCAATTCTACTCCAAGATGAACTGAAATTGAGTTATACAATATCATTACATAGGCTTATCTCATAATATGAACATTCCTATCTGCCAAAATGTAACACAAGGAATATCATTTTAGAAAGATTTATTTTGATCCATTTCTGTAAGTTTCCCCAGAACGAATACTTTACCATTTAATATGAATACTTCTCTACAAGGTAGCTACTTGTTTCAGTAATTAATAATCTTCAAGATCTTCATTCAAAAAACAATGACCTGCTGGCCTCCAATCCCTCAGGTTCAAAAGAAGAGAGATTCCACTAATATAACATGAATAAGGAAAGAAGAGGTTAGCTAAATAGCAGAATTTCTAGACAATGAAAGTTGACCCATATTAGAACAAATGAAAATAGCAGCAGCTCCTTCTCTGAAGTTATTTAAATTCAATTAAATAGGAATTTCTGGTTTAATAGTGTTCCTGCCTCAAGTGTCTTTCATAAAGACTAGCATTGTAATAAGGTATGGCAGTAGGGATTTTAACTGTCCAAGGGACATTGCAAAACCCAACCTCTCCCAAATCCTGCTACTCAACAGCAGGGATCTAAAGGAATAAATAGATCCCCAGCTGCTGACAGAAAACGTCTTACTAAAAGCAAAGCAAAATTCTCATTAATGAAAAATCAACCATGAAGAAAAAAAATTGTCTCGTAATCCCTGGAAATAGCCAAATCCATTTTGGGTTAATGCAGATTTAACAAAAACAGAGGAAGAGAACAGAGCAAAACAGTTCCCTTTGCCAGTAGCTGAGGGAAACACCTATCAGGGAAATCACAAATAACAATGCTTCTAATCCACTGAGCCAAAAGAAATATGAACTCTATCTAGTGAACAGTACCAGGAAAATGCCCTTGTAAATAAATTCTCCCTCTCACCATCAAGCCACCTTATCCTATCTTGTTCAACACCATTATGATAGGCCATAACTTGAATTTTCCAAGATCAAATTCAATGGGTAATCCAAACCCTGTTTTTTCTGATGAGATAATCTCTAAAATCACAGTCCTCACATGCATGTATTTATTCAAAGCCAGCGTTGAGCTTCTGTATCAGGCACCAGGAATACAAAAACCAGTAACAAACAGTCTCTACCCTCACGGAGCTTAATCCATGCACCTTGCCTCATCTTAAACCCCAAAGCTCTTGCCTTAAAATACCTTCTTAGAGGGGCCAACTGTTCTCAGTGAAAAAGCAATAAAGGCCCTTTAGTTACTGTAATAAAAGCTAATGAATATACACATAAATCATACGTGTTATGTTCGCTCCAAAAAGGAGAGAAGACAACACAACTTTCCAAGTCGAATATGAGAATAAACTTAGCCTAGACTACAAAGAAGCCGGGAACGAGACAAGCAACAGAGGGGTGTAAGCGAAGAAATACACTAGAAGAAGGGATGTGACCGCTGTACCACATTGCGTTCAAACAACGATAAAAAGAACCTGCTACTAAGCCGCCTTTAGTTTCACGGTGCAGGGAAAAGGAAAAAAAGAATGGGAGACTGCCTACTCTTGAACCAACTATTCGCGGTCACCTAGCTAGTCCACTCTCACTAGACAAGAGCTCCAGTCACTGTTTAATAGGATCTGGGCCTGCCAGCCAACAACTCTGTCACATGGCCACTGGAATGGAGAGGTTACCAGTCCCTCACGTGAGAGTGAGGGAAAATAAGAAAGAGTGGAAAGAACTCTTTAAATGTTTATAAATGAGTTAACATAATCTACCCCCGAGGCACGGACGAGAAGTGAAGTTTGGAAAAGGTGGTACAGCAACGCCCACTGGAAGCTTGCGGGGACCCTTCGGCGGCCCGCGTCTTCCTCCCACCCTGCCATAGTCCACACACTCACCGCGCACACAGAGCAGCGACATGGCCGAGACGCTGGCAAGTCGCCGCCGCACCCGGCAGCTCCCTCTTTCCTCTCAGCAGGTGCCGCGGCTGTTCCCGTAATCGGCCCCACAGGTCTGACCTCTCCACATGGTCCCCGTGGCAGGCAGCGTCCCGCCGCTCCCTTGAACCCGCTTCAATTCTCAACGTCTAACCGCACTCCCGATAGCTGTGAGTACGGGCAAGCAGGCAGGAGACTGGGCGCGGCACCACGGCGCCATCACTAGGAGGCAGGAGCTACCGGGACTCTCTCCCACCCCGCCTTCACCCCACAGGGCTCACGGAGAGCTCCTAGAAGGAGCCAACCCGTGGCGCTCCGCCTCTCAGCCAATCAACTCACGCCTAGTCCGCCGACCCCTCCTCCCATAAGCCCATAAGAGGTGGGGTTTCCTTCCTCTTTCCCTACGTGCAAGAAGACAGCTCCTCCCTCTAATAAGGCTTGGAACTGAGAGGGCGGGGCTTCCCCACACCTGTGTCAGGAGATAACTGAAGCCCTCTGCTCCTCCCACGTGGACAGAGCTCCCACCCAAGATTGTTTTGATTGAAGAATTTTCATCGGACTTCTTTAAAGAGTCTAGCCATTGGAGCCCACCGAGCACCTACTTATGGTAATTTAACAAGATCGTACCACGGGCAGGTTTTAATTACCAACTACAGAAAAAAAAAAGGAAAATAACTGAGTGAGCATAAAGTAAAATGTTTGGAGACTTCAGTTCTGTTTGTTTTATTTATTTTTGAAGGGGGGGGTGGACAGAGGAGCCAAAGCGGGCTCTGCACTGACAGCGGCAAGCCAGATTTGGGGCTCCAACTCACCAACCATGAGATCATGACCTGAGCCAAAACCAAGAATGGGAAGCTTAACCAAGCCACCCAGGCACCCCTTGGAGACGTCAGTTCTTATCTAGATCTTGTTTCCTTTTAAGTTTATTTATTTTGAGAGAGAATGCACAAGCAGGGCAGGGGCAGAGAGAGGAGAGAGAGAGAATCCCAAGCAGGCTCCTCACCATCAGCACAGAGCCCCACAAGGGGCTGGAACTCACGAACTGTGAGATCATAGCCTGAGCCGAAATCAAGAGTTAGACGTTTAACCACCTGAGGTACCCAGGCCCCCCTAGACCTTTTTTTCCTGCATGCTATTGTATCTCCAATGTCTATAATAGTACTTGGGACATAGAAATCAGTCCGTAATATTTACTGAATGAAGGATAGAGGGAAGATAGGCATTTTAAGCTATGACTTCTGGTAAGATGACATATGCACATATGAGGAAGTGAAAAAGACCAGAGCAGAAAACATGAAGACCCGTAGTATAATGTACAGATCCAACACCCCCTCCATGCCACAGTTCTGATTCAATTGGTTTGGGGTAAGTCTCAAACTATTTTTAAAAGCTCCCCAGGTGATTCTAATGTGATGCCAGGGCTGAGCATCATTAGAGGACATGCTTTCTAAGGTTTCAGTAGCCCAGCTTGGGTGTCAGCATTTGCAAGTTCTTGGTCCCATAGGATTCTGCCTGCTAGACTCAGGGAGTGTCCGTCAATCTAACATGGTCTTTGCCCTCCAAAAACAAACCTATCAGATGATTTTTCTCACTGGAAAAGTTGCTATGAGAAAGTGACCCTCCAAATGCTATAGCAAGAGCCTAAAGAAGACGATTTGATCTTCCCAGTGCTCATCCAAATTTGGAATAATAATCCTGAGGAAGATTTTGACCAGGGCACTCAGCCAGCCCACTCAACACAGATGCTGACCATAAAAATAATGGGCATTCTCTGGGCTGCTGGAGGTTGAACTACCTAGCTATTTAGCCCAGCTGTCCTTTATAAAATTGTGAAGCGCATGAACTTTGAAGCCAGTCAGATCCACCTGGTGTATTATCTATTGTCATGTAATAAACTACTCCAAAATGTAATGGCTTAAACATTTATTATCTTATAGTTTCTGGGTCAAGAATCTGAGTAGGGCTAGATTGGATCCTCTGGTTCAGGTTTTTTTACAGACTGCTATCAAAGCGCCAGCTTGATTGCAACAGGATCCACTATCAAGCTCATTCATGTGACTGTTAGCAGGACTCAATTTCTCTTCAGCTATTGAACTGAAAGCCTCAGTTCCTTATTGGCTATTGGCTTGTCTCAGTTCCTTGTCTGAGACAAGATGGCTGCTTGCTTCATCGAAGCATTCAAACTGAGAAAGCAATAGAGTCTGCTAGCAAGATGGAAGTTACAGTCTTCTTAACATAATCACAGAAGTGACTTCCCCTAGTTTTTGCTGTATTCTATTCATCAGAAGCAAGTCACATTTTAGGGAAGAAGATTACACAAGGAAATGAATATCACCAGGAGCTGCCTCATTGGGGCAGCCATCTTTGGGGAACCATCTCAGAAATCTGCATACCATACCTAGATTTGAGTCCTAGCTCTGATACTTGTGACCTTGGGCAAGCTACATGACCTCAATTTCCCAAAGAATAATGATAGTAACTACTTTATAAGATAGTTTCCAGGCTTAAACGAGGAACTGCATTTAAATTACCTGATGCAAGTCCAATACATGTTTGTTATTACTTAGGCTGTGGATACAAAGGGAGGAATGTGGCTGGGAGGTAAAGAGAAGGTAAGCAGAGCAAGGGTCACTGTCTAAAGGTTGTGATGAAAGCTCTGAGGCATCCCAGTTTCCCAGTTTAAAGTTCAGAGGAAAAAGGCAATGAGGTCTTCTTGCCCTCTAGACACTTGACCAGGACCATTTATACTCATCAGCAAGGTAAGTGTATCTTCAGAAGCAACTCAAACAGGGATAGAAAGCCAGTCCTCCATGCTTCAGTCTTCATTAGTGTTTCCAAGTACAGTACTTGAAAGTTCTCCAGCATTTGGAGTTTACACTTGTGTTTAGCTGGCAGGTAGCTGAGAGCTAAGACTCTAAAATCCAGTAAATGAGAGGGAAGGTGAGAGGGATCCAGGAAAGTAGGTAGTGAAGAGAACCTAAGAATCTCAAGAGGGCAAGACCAAAACACCCAGGTTTGGCATTGTTGCTGCCTCTTTGGGAGGCCTCAGGCAGGAGAGAAAAGGGGACTGGGTAAGAACCCTGATGCAGGGGTTCCCTCTACCAACTTTATGACTATCTTTAAGCTATTCAACAAGGTCATTAAAAGTTTACTCTTTCTGCAAGTTCCTTATCCCTTGGGAAATGTCTCCCAATGCCTCCATAGAGAAATTTAATATAAATAACTAAATAAACAAATATTTATTAAGTGTTTCTTCGCTCAGTCTTAATGAAAGGAAAAAGTAAACAAAGCACTATCCTTTGTTTACTATTCCTAACAAAGTTACTATCCTTAAATAGTTTATAAGGTGATAGGAAAGGTCTGTGAAAGAATAAGGAACTAAACTAGGGCAGTAAATATGGAACTGAGGGGGAAGAAAAGGGACAATCCCTTTAACACTTCTCAGTGTTACGGAACTAATGTGATAGAATTTGGCACACAATGACTATGAATACAGTAAAGAATATCCTTTCTTTAGTAGCAAGCCATTGGATGAGAAGGCAGGGGGAGAGAGGGAGAGAGTTTTAAAGTCAGGTTGACTGGAAGGATGGTGCTACAGTTTTTACTGATAGATAGGAAATCAAGGATGCATAGGTTCTGGGGAAAGATGTTTCCTTTTTTTTTTTTTTCCAACGTTTATTTATTTTTGGGACAGAGAGAGACACAGCATGAACGGGGGAGGGGCAGAGAGAGAGGGAGACACAGAATCGGAAACAGGCTCCAGGCTCTGAGCCATCAGCCCAGAGCCCGACGCGAGGCCGAACTCACGGACCGCGAGATCGTGACCTGGCTGAAGTCGGACGCTTAACCGACTGCGCCACCCAGGCGCCAAGATGTTTCCTTTTGAACACATACATTAAGTTTGAGATTGTGTGGTATATTCTTGCAAATAAATGCATTAGATGATGTGGAACTGAACCCTAAGCAATCAGTCCAAACTAGAGACAGAGATTTCAACCAATAAAAATGTAACTACTTTAATCTCCATTTTTTATAAAGAAAATGAAGCAAAACTGGAATGCAGCCCAGCTGCAGCTTTCACCAGAACTCAAGCCGTTAGCCATAATGCTATATTGCCCCTCAAATAGTAGAGGAACTCAGCAGAAGCTGTGGAAGGAATCAAGATAAGCTTCACAAGAGAAGTAGCATGTGGAGGAGATGGATCTCAAAGCATGGATAAACCTGAACATGCAAATGTGGAAGAAAGGGTATTTCATATACAGAGAGTAAGTTGCATGAACAAATCAGGAAATGGACACATTGAATCTGTACTGGCATTTAGGAGTAAGCTGCAAAGAATCTGAGAGTTGGAGCCCTATGGTTGTCAGGAGACTATCTAGAATGAGAAAGGAACAAAGGTCATTTATAGAGAACACCTACTTTTAAGGAGTAGGAAAAAGAGACAGAAAAGGACTGGTCAGAGAGGGAAAACAGGAAAATAAACAAATCACCTGTATAGTGTTCCAGTATAGATCTTATCTCATTGAAGAGTAATTGCATACCTATCCTTTCTTTAGACACAGAGCTCCTCAACAGCAAAGGATGTATTTTCTGTGTCTTTATCCCTAACACATAACACATAGCACACCTGGTAAAGGTGTCCAAAAAAGATTTCTTGACTAATCAAATACATAAATGAATTCATGAATGAGAATGTTTTAAGGTTTGGTTGTTGTCAAAGATGAAAAAAAAAACCTGGACATTAGTCAAGTGATTAGGACAGATTCAATCAGTAATATACTATTGCAATAGGGAAAATAGTCTAACACAAACTGAACTCATCTTCAATTTGTATAGAGGTAACTGGACGTTTTAAAGGGAGAATGGAAAAATAAAATAAAATAAAGGCAGAATGGAGGGGCACCTGGGTAGCTCAGTGGGTTGAGCATCCGACTTTGGCTCAGGTCATGATTTCACAGTTCATGACTTTGAGCACCACATCAG